TGGAGAGTGACTTCTCTGTTCTCCTTCCCTGCCCTCAGGGTTGCTGAGAAGGAACCTATCAACAAGATGTCGCTTCACAACCTGGCCACTGTGTTCGGCCCCACGTTACTGAGACCCTCAGAAGTGGAGAGCAAAGCACATCTCACATCAGCTGCAGACATCTGGTCCCATGACGTCATGGCCCAGGTACTACCCTACCAGCACCCTGGAGGCCTCGAGGCAGTTGAGAGGCCTCACCTCTCCTAGGCAGCTGAGTCAGTGGTACATAGGGTGCCCGAGCACAGGGCGACAGATCTCCCTGCTTAGGCCGAAACACAACGTATGGGTCTAGACAAGAGTTGGAGTGTCTGTCCAGGCGCTTGCTGCTCCCCTGAGAGGACCTCAGTCTTGGGTGTAGCGGGTTTGGAGCCAGGGGGTTGACCGAATGTATGAAAGTTCTGGGGTTACTTTCAGGACAGGCTGCCCAGGAAAGCTGATCTCAGGCCCACACTAGACGCTTTTGACTTAGACACGGAAGTGGCTCCGACCCTTGGCTCTGCAGCACCCTCTAGTGCTGGAAATGAGCGAAGGAACCTGGGCTTCCAAAAAAGGGAGAGAGGCCAGAAGGAGCCTGGGGTGTGACGTGGGCATCAGACTTGGCTGCAGCTCGGGAGTCCTTTCTTCTCGGCCTGGCAGGTGAAGGGGGGTCTGGAACATGAGGACCACAACAACCTCAGTCTGCTTGTCTCCCCACAGGTCCAGGTCCTGCTTTACTACCTGCAGCATCCCCCCATCTCCTTCGCAGAGCTGAAGCGGAACACACTCTACTTCTCCACAGACGTGTAGCCGGAGGCGGGCAGCTGTGGGGGTGGCCGGAGGCAGCCCTCCAGCCAGGGCCCGACATAGACTTGAAAAGACTGCAACCGAAACTCCCCAGCCTAGCCCTCCGGAGCCCAGGGGAAGCCACCTTCCGAGAACTGCAACTCGTGCATCTTTTGTGCCACCTTGTACAAAGCCAGCTGACCAGCCCCGAGCCTCCTCGCCACCCCGCAGCTCCTGCCCTCCGTACCTGTGCGTGTGTCTGATGCTCCGTGCTGTCTAAGAATTGTCCTGTGTATATTTGTCATGCAGAAAGGGTAGTGGCTGAGCCGGTGTGGGCACAGACGGCCTGCTTTGTCCTTTCATTTCTTCAACACTTTCTTTCTGCCTGAGTCCAGTCTGGGGACTTTTATTTTGCGCTGTGTAACTGCTGCCGGCTTCTCCTGTCCTGGCCCTGCTCCCAGACTGCAGCCTCCCTGCAGTGTCTCTGCCCTCTCCATCTTCCCAGCCTGCTGCATGCATGTGCAGCCTGGGGTTTTGCTCCATCACTGGAAAGTTCTGCAGAGGCCCCGGGCAGTGGGGGCCTGTCCCATGTGCTGTGTGCCACCCTTGGCCTCACACCTGCTTTCCTTGCTGTCTGTGCAGATGCTGAACAAGGAGACAGACACACACTAATTCTCAGCTTAGCACAGAGCTGGAGAGCTGATTTCTGGAATGTTCTATTTGAGAATTACCCTTTCTGGGGTTTGTCTGTTCTATTTGCTGCCTACCATGAGGCATCTTCAACTGTTTCTCCTACTGCTGAGTTTCCTGTTCCTTTTCCCCTGGTGTTGTTTTGAGTGTGACGGCTCACAAGTGTCCTGCTATCAAGAGAGGTCAGGAATGCTGCACCTGAGGGTGTGGTGGGCACCCAGGCTGTGAAGGAACCAGATGGATGGAGCAGGCGGCAGGGGCGAGTCAAGGGAAGCCAGTCTTCACAGTAAAGACCCGGGGAGGTTGATGTAGTGGAGCATGATCTGGAGGGCAACTTCTGTGGCTGAATCAGGTGTCCAGATGAAAGCAGGCTCCGTCCTGGAACCTGGAACCTCATATACCTCGTGGTACTTTTGCCTTAGATTTTACACTCTCAACAGCCAAGCACTGCCACGGGGCAGCCACATTGCCATGCATGCTCCAGAGCCTGGGAAGAGAAGGCACAACCCAGCTGGAATGGTCCTGCCCTGGCACTGCCCCAGCTCCTAAATCCAGCCCTGTGGGTAATCCCAAGCTTTCTAGAAGATGGAGGACAGGCTGTCACCCTCGTGTGTCTGCTGGGGCTCCAGAGGATGGGGTTAGCAGGTGTCATTTCCAACTCTGCAACTTACTGCTTGGTACTAGAAGGAGATTTATTCCCAAAGCACCGTTTCCAGTCCGATGGCAATTAGCAGGGAAAGGTGCTCCTGTCACAGGAACCTGAGCTACCACACAGCTTCTATGTGGCAGAGTTGATTCTTGGCCCTCAGGATTGGGGAGACCAGCCCTCATTGTGTGTGCTCAGGGCTAAGTCTAAAGATGGGTTTGCTGGCCCCCAAGCTATTGTGTCTGCTAGGTGAGAGGCAGGGCTTTTTCAGGTCCTATTCATACCTGTGGCCTTTGACAGAACGGTACAGTTTGTGCATACAGGAGGAAGGAATGCCAACTTCCCAACTGCCTATTAGCAGTTTAACGAGGAGCCTTGCTGTCTCAGACAGGTGAAAGAGAATGCCTGTGACACAAGTGTAGAGATCACATCATCTAGCCACTGTCTTGGCACTCAGGTGCTGATGTGTGGCATTCTTGCTTCCAAAGAATTGACAGTAACAAATTATCAAAGCCCATCAAAACAGTGCCTCCTGTCTCTTCAAAACAAGGAATGTTGGCTTCTAGGCATTAGCTACTGCAGTCCCTTGGTTGCTTAGGCAATGTAACAGCAGGAAGGCTGGAAGAGGAACTGAGAATTATTAATGGTTTCTATTATTTATAAATTCCACCCCAAGTGGGGCACCAAGGAAGTATCTGGTGTTTCTCCTGAGACAGGGGCCATGCAGCCCAGAACCCCATCACTGCCAGCAAGGCACCGGGAGACAGGGTCCAGGAATCCCAGGCATGCCTGCACTTGCTTGGGCAGTGAATGAGGGCTGCCAGCGTTTGCTGACGAGGTAGGATGGAACCCCTAATAAGTTGGTATGGATATATTTTTTTTGTCTCTGTTCTGTTTAAACTTAATGTAGATTATTATAAATTGATGTAAACCATGTGAGAGGGAAATGTTAATAAAAAAAATGCAAAGCCCCAACATTTGCACAAAACTCAGCCCTGTGGTGTGGATGTTTGTGTTCTCAGTAGTCCAGGGAAGATCACCAATCTAAATATTTAAGTCCTTCCAGCTGCACCCAGATGTGTTTCCAGGAACCTGTCCATCCGTCTATCCTCGAACTCTTCTGACGTTGGGGCTGTGGCACTTGGAGGGGAAAGCCTGCTTCTCACTCGACCCACATTTCCAAGTGCTATAGTTCCCTTCATGGAACACTCACTATGGACCTGGGCATAGTGTGCCTGGGAAAGATAGCAGAGGTGGCCCATTGGCTTTCCATTAACGTCTCCGTTTTCCTCAAAATCAGCCCGTCTTCTATGGCAGCCTTTGGTAGAATTTGCTTGTTCGAGATCTGCATCTCACACCGAGAGCCCACTCCCCTTTGGGGGAGCCAGTAGGGTTTGTGCGGGGCTTCCACCAGCCGAAGCCATTGGACACTGTTTATTCTGGAGATCAGGAACAGATGTGTCTGCAAACTGCTGTTTGGTTTATGAGCTCATGCTGACCCCCCAGCCACCTAAAACAGGAAGCTATTCATCTCCTCTTGATTGAACAGTCCACGTGGACAAGGCTTGGCTTGTTCAACTGATGTCTATTGACAGCCCTGAGACTCCTCTTTGCCAAGAGAGTTGTGATGGCAACATCTCTGGTGTTGTGGCTCATGTGGAAGACCAGCCGGCCATAGACCTCAGGCCCTGAGCATTTTGACAGGCACCAGGTAGAAACCATCCTTTCTTCAGAAAGGTGTTCCTAAATGAGGAATTTACAGACAGTGTAGGAACACTCCTAAATTTGATTTCAGAGCTCTAGGGGTATGTTCAGCTGGTCTTTCAGTAATGAAGCCTCATGCTTATGAAAACAGGGCAGGCATCATACCGAATTCACTGGGGGCTAAAAGCAGGGGGTTCATTAATAGAGTACTTGCCTAGCATGTACGAAGCCTTGGGTTTTTCGAGACAGGGTTTCACTATGTAGCTCTGGCTATCCTGGAATTCTCTCTGTAGCCCAGGCTGTCCTCAAACTCAAGAGATCCGCCTGCCTCTGTCTCTCGAGTGCTGGGATTAAAGGCGTGCACCACCGCCCTGCTAAGCCTTGAGTTCTTTCCTCAGCAAATGAACGAATGTGAAAAGGATCCAGCGAGAGAACACGAGCCCTGTGCACTAACGTACAGCCAGTCCAAAGATAGAGCAGAAAGGTGTTACTTGGGATTTGATATCATTACTCACATACAAATACACTCAGATGACTAATGTGGAGGTTGAGTCTGCTTGAGGATGAGTAGAGATGAGGAAGAGAGCAAAGGGAAAGTGGAAGGGTTAGTGTACAGCAGGGAAAAAGACTGAAGGCTGGCTAAGGCAGCCAGTCCCAGGCCTTGCCGAGCCTCCTGCGGAGCTGACAGGAGGGCAGGACTGGGTCCATCCAGTCCCTCTTCACCCACACACTACACTACAGTCCAGTGGCACAGCCCCAACAGTAAAAGGCTAGTTTTCTGCCATGCTATAACTGGGCTCAACTGTTGAAATAAAAAACTCTAAAAGCCAAAGAAGAACTTTCTGGAGAACAAGGGTGGTGGTGAGCAAGCCTTCAGCAGTTCCTGTATGATTGAGCTGGCAGGCTAACCAAAGCAAGTACTCATGTATCTTGAAACTGGGCTGGGGCCTGAGACCACTGGTTCAGCAAGCTGCATGTGTGACCATCAGCCAGCACAATGGGGTTCTCTCTCTAAGGAGGCGGCAGGGTTACCAGCATAGTCAGTGCATCTGAGAACAGGGCTGGCTGGCTGGACTGTGCTGCTGGGGCAAGGCCTGGCTGAGGGAACAACTGCGGTGATAAAGGTACAGATTAGATTCCACACTCCCTGAGCCCAGCATCCCCAGAGCTCTTGAGAGATTTATTTCCCAACTGTCCCATTGAACCTGTCCCTCTTTGGGCCACCTGGCATCATTTGTGGAGGATGTGAAGTAAATCTGAAAAATAAACTAACAGTGCATATGCTCTTTAAAAAAGAAAACAAAACTGGGTATGTTTCCTGCATGAATGTCCGGGCAGTGGTGTCTGGTGCCCTCAGAGGTCAGAAGAGGGCCTTGAATCCCTGAGCCACCATGTGGGTGCTGGGAACTGAACCTGGGTCCTCTGGAAGAGCAGCCAGTGCTGTTAGCCACTGAGCCATCTCTCCAGCCCCCATATACGTATCTTTAACAAGGACAGCAAAGATACTAACTGAAATAACGTACTTGCCTGGATGGTGTGAGTTTACTTTGCCTTGTCCTGGTATTCAGATAAATGCTTGCACAAAGTTGCAAGGCAAAAGAGTTTCCTGGCTACGGGCAAACATCCTGCCACCTCCCTGTTCACAGCTGGAGAGCTGAGTGACGTCAGGACTGAGCTCAATTCTTAACAGTCAACACACTGCCTCCTGATCTTTTTACTGCAAAGAGACAGACCATCTACCCTGGAAAACCTGGCTGGAATTCAGAAGTAGAAAAGTATGGCTGCTCCAATGGCTGGAGGCAGAGGCCAGCGAGGTGGCTCCCTCACACCACCAACTGTAGAGGGAAACAATTGGCTTCTCTCCTGAAGCAGTGCCAGGTGTGTAGGAACTGCTACAGAAAGCAGCTCGGAAGGGGGACGGCATCTTGCTTCCTTTCAGGCCATTTCTTTCACCGTAGGTAATAATCGATTGCAGCAGAGAAAGCGGCAAAGCCTCCACAACCTATGGCCCCGGCCTTCACACCAGCTGCAAAGCAAACAGAAGCAGCATTACCACAGTAACAGGTGCTAGACTGGACTGGACTTACAAAAAATTTGCATCAGAGAGGCAAAGAAACCAATTTAAGTATGTGCAGTCATTCAAACTCATAATGCCTTGTTAAGATTTCAATGAAGCAACATATCCCATCCAAACCACTGGGCTTCATATAACTATACATTTGCTTAGCTCTTCTCATTCCAAACGATTACTGTGTCCAGTTGTATGGAACTAGCCCCTCACAGTCCAGAAACTGGTTAAGGGAAGCGGCCCTTGGAATCACATGAAAGCATATGGCCTTACACCCTGATCTGTTTATGGAATAAATTCCTGGGAAGGTGATCAAAGCAATCCTGGGGGGAGCTGAGCTCACAGCCCTGAAAAACTACACTACAGAAGACCAAAAGAGAAGCCGCTCTGCCCACCAAGCATGGCTGTGAGGAGCCAGCTTTCATGTCAGCTCATCGCTGGCTCTCAGAAGATGAGAGGCTTCTGCTTCCACTAAGTCAAACTGTGAGTGATGGAGAGTAGCCCAGCAATACATGCTGCTTCTAGGAAAGGTCAAGTCCTTGAGGCCAGTGCTCTACACTGGGACAGGGAGGAGGTGAGGCCTGGCTTCTTTCTAGCTGACAATCTAACATTCTGAGGATGTCTGCATTTGGCTTTCCTGTTCTGTCTCCCTGGTATTTTAAATTTATTTTGGTTTTTTTTATGTGTATGTGTGTGTGTGTGAACGAATGCCATGTGTACATGGGTGCCTCAGGAAGCCAGAAGGGGTGTCAGATCCTCTGAAGCTACAGTTGCAGGTAGCTGTGAGGGTGTGGGGAACTGAACTCTCTAAGAATTGTGCATGCTCATAACCACTTCTCCAACCAGCCCCTTTGGTTTTTTGAGGCAAGATCTCCTGAGTGGTGGGCTTACATGCACGTATCATCATGGCCAGTGTGCACTTAGCTTTCAATTAGTAGAAATCGAAGAGTCCCCCAACTGCAGAAAGACACAGCTATTAAAATTTATACACAAAATTAAAACTGGCTGCTGGGGCTGGGGCTGGGGCTGAGTACTAGAACTCACGCTTAGTGTTTACCAGGACGGGTCTGGTTCCCAGAACTGGAAAACAAACAAAACCCTGACAACAGTCTAAAATTAAGGGAGGGGTTGGGGATTTAGCTCAATGGTAGAGCACTTGCCTAGCAAGCGTAAGGCCCTGGGTTTGATCCTCAGCTCCAAAAAAAAAAGGGAAAAAAATTCAGACACTTGAGATGCCAGGAACTGAGTCTCAGCACAGCCTGCAGGTGTGGACGATGGGACTGCTCGGGCTGAGTGACTTACTAGGCTTCTGCACTATCCTACATGCCAACACACCACTTACCATGAGAACATCGTCTCACACATTCAATATGGAAGCTCTTTTTCTAGGCAAGATATAGCTCTATGGTTAATTATGGGTAATTTTCCCACCCTTGGGTGGCTTCTGATAACAGCAAAAGTCCCCATCCTAAAAAGTTATGAGCATTTGGCCAAACAGCCTACAATGTGCATGATCCCATTCCACACACCAGCAAAGATTTACCTGGGGGGCTGGAGAGATGGCTCAGCAGTTCAAAGAGTACTTGTTCCTCTTGTAGAGGACCCGGGTCTGGTTCCCACCAGCCACATGACTCACAAATATCTGTAGTTCCAGTTCAGGGGACCTGATGCCTTCCTATGGCACCAGGCACACAGGTGGTACACAGACATACACATGTAGACAAAACACCCATACAAATAAAAGTACATAGTTTTTAAAAAGAAAAAGATTTTATCTGGTCCAAAATCTCTCGAGTGCCAAGCTGAGAAAGCCTAACGTAGATGGAGATATAAGCAAGTTTCCAGAGCCAAGTCAACACAGAAGCAGCCAGGATTTATTTGTCAGAGGGAAGACTATCAAGCATCCTTGGAACACTCATGTTGGGAAATGTCAACATCAGCGCGTTGTCCAGACCACAAAAGAAAGCCACTCGAGAGCTGTTTACTAACCTCTGAAACCAATGGCTCCGCCAGTGATGCAGCCACTGATGACGCTGTTCTTCCAGTCCGACTTCCCCCGGTACTGTGGGTGGAGAGATGCTGGTTAGAGTCGGCGAGACGACTGAGGGAGAAAACACAGGGCTTCCAACTGCCTAGGTTAGTCCTAGTCAAAGGAAAACCTTATTTCCAAAGGGCAGTTCCTAAAACTTGTATGTGCTTATACATGCTTCCTGCAGGTGGCGCCAGAGGGCTGAAGACAAGTCCAGCATTTGGGAAATAATCAAGAGTTCTTATATTCTCCTAAACTGAAGATTAAACTATTTTAAATCATTAACTACAATTACCTGAGTTGGTGATGTGGCCCAGTGGTAGAGCACTTGCCTACTATGCATAAAGTCCCAAGTTCAATCCCCAGCACCAAATAAATAAGAAAAAAAAAAACAAACAAACAAGTAAAACCCATATTATAAATATGTAAAAAGTTCACATTAAGAACTAATCTAGATCAAAATTTGATATTTTTAAATGTTTATTTTGAGGCAGTCTTCCTATGGAGTTCAGGCTGACCCAGATCTCATGCTCCTGCTTCAGACCCCATCTAACTAAGGCTTGACATTTCTAATCTGCATTCCAGGAAGAACACTAAGAACATTGCTCTTTTAAAAGTTGTGTGATGGGCTGGGAGTGATAGCATGCACCTTTAATCCTAGCACTCAGGAGGCAGGAGCAGGTGGATCTCTGTGAGTTCTAGGCCTACCTGGTCTACAATCATTCATACACACACACATACACACACACACACACACACACACATACACACACAAACTTTTTAATCTAAATTTTTTAAAAAGAGGATTGGTTTAAAAAAAAAACAGGCTGTTGTAGAATATTATTTTAAGGTGTGTTACTTTTGTTTATGTTGCATTTGTTTAACTCAGTGAAGCTGTGTTACTGTGCCTGTCTGGAACACTTGATTGGTCTAATAAAGAGCTGAACAGCCAATAGCAAGGCAGGAGAAAGGATAGGCGGGGCTGGCAGGCAGAGAGAATATATAGAAAGAGAAATCTGGGAGGAGGAAAGAAGTAGCCAGAGAAGGAGGAGGGAGGACTATAGGGGTAAGCCACCCAGCTACACAGCAAGCCATGGAATAAGTGTAAGATATAGAAGAGAATAGGAAAAGCCCAGAGGCAAAAGACAGGTTAAGGGAAAGCTGGCAAGAAACAAGCCAAGCTAAGCCCACGCATTTATAAATAAGAATAAGCCTCTGTGATTTGGGAGCTGGGTGACGGGCCCCCCGGAATAGCAAAACAAACAACATCGGGCAGTGGTGGCACATGCCTTTAATCCCAGCACTCAGGAGTCAGAGGCAGGTAGATCTCTGTGCATTCCTGCAGGCCAGCCTGGTCTACAGAGCGAGATTCAGGACAGCCAGGACTACACAAAGAAACCATGACTTGAAAAACAGAACAAAAAAGGTGTGCATTGGCAACAGACAAGGATTTCTTAGAAAGTCAGAGGCACTTACAGATTCTACCAAACACTCGGTACACGAAAACATGGCGCCCACAATGGCAAAATTTTTGGCGTAGGACATTCCTCTTTGTCCCATGTCTTTCAGAACTTCTCTTGCGGTTGGTGTCCGGTAAGGGTCCTTAGGGTCAAAGCCTACATTCGTATCAATGCCGGCTGTAAAGACCCCAAATGCACCTCCCAAGACAAATCCTAGAAACAAGCAGAGATAAGATTGTTTTGCACATCTGGACTACCATTTTGGGATGATACTTGAAGGTGGTCTTTCTGGCTTCTGGCTATTCAATCTCAATCCTGCTTCCTCCACAGTCACAATCGGAGTCCATCCCCCACTGACTCCTAGGATTTCTTCCTCCTTTCATTTTTCCAGCCTTTCAGCTTTAACCCTCTGTTCCTCTGTAGACCAGCCACCCTCAAGTTCAGCTACCAATTTTGTATATCATTCCCTTAACCATGCCTACATCCATAACAGTCACTTAGGCATTACCACATATTCTAGAATACTCTATTATTCACAATAACTTTGTGAGGTAGATGTTATTGCTCTCTCTTTCTGGCTTTTTTGTTTGAGACAGGGTCTCACTATGCAGTTCTGATTGGCCTGGAACTTGCTATTGTAGAACAGGCTATCTCAAAGTTAAGAGATCCGCCTGCCTCTGCCTCCCAAGTGCTTGGATTAAAAGCGTGTACCACCCAGCTGTGCTCTCCAAACCAAAGCTCAGAGAGGTTAAGTAACTGTCTCCAGAGTCTCATGGCTAGTATACAGAAAATCCTGGGTTGCTATCAACAGATCAACAGATGTCCAGCAAGCCTTGGACATTTCTTTGTGTGTATGTGGGTGTAGGCCAGAGGTCAATTCTAGGGAGTCACTCTTCAGGAACCATACACTTTTTTTTTTTCAAGACAGGGTTTCTCTGTGTAACAACAGCCCTAGTTGTCCTGGAATTTGCTCTGTAGACCAGGCTAGCCTCAAACTCACAGAGATCTGCCTGCCTCTGTTGTCCGGATGCTGGGTGTGGTGATGCACACCTTTAATCCCAGCAGAGAGGCAGAGCCAGGCAGATCTCTGTGAGTTCAAGGCCAGCTTGGTCTACAGAGCAAGATCCGGGACAGGCACCAAAACTACACAGAGAAACCCGGTCTTGAAAAACAAAACAAACAAAAATGGTGGGTGCCACTACCTCCAGCCACTTTTTTCTTCTTTAAAGAGGGTCTCTCAATGGACCCAGAATTAACTGGTTAAGCTTGGCTGACTGGTAACTGAACTCTAAGAACTGCCTGCCTGTCTTCCCATTGATAGGTTACAAGTCATTTTCAGGCATAACCGACATTTATTTGTTTATTTATGTATTTGAGACACAGACTATGTAGGCTCTCCTGGAGCTTGCTATGTAGGCCAGGTGGCCTCAAGCTCAGATCCACCTGCCTGTCTAGTCTGGGATTAGCCTGGGCCACCTCACCCAGCCATACCTGGCTTTTTATGGGGGTGCTGGGTATTGAACTCAGATCTCCATGCTTTCGTGACAAGAACTTTACCAGCTGCACTTTCTCCCTAGCCATTTCTGCACGGATGTCTTCTCATCCCCTCAAGATCAATGTAAGGTCAAAGAACCTAGACACCACCTCCCCTCCCAAAACTGCCTGCTTTCTAATCACTCCAGCTCCAAAACTCTCTCTTCTCTCTACTACATTTAAGATTTGCTTTTTGTTTCTTTGGCCGGTTTTTTGTTTTTATTTTCAAGACAGTGTTTCTATTATGTAATCCTGGCTGTCCTGGAATTCGCTATACAGACTACGATGGCCTGGAACTCTGAGAGCTGCCTGCCTCTTCATCCCCACTTTTTAAGACCTGAACTCCTGCTATTTGGATTTCTTAAATGTTTTTCATTCCCAATGAAATTTAAATTTATCTACAAATACAGTCAGCCTTTATCTGTACACTGGAAGTGTGCTGTACATTCTCAAATCCTCAAAGGTTAATTTGTGTTTGTTTGGTTTTTTTGGATTGTCCCATCCCACAGCATCTCGACTGTCTAATCACACTGGCCTTCATAGTTTTCATTTGTTGTTGGTGGTTGGGTTTTGTTTTGTTTTGAGACAGCTTCTCTCTATGTAGAGCTGGCTGTCCTGGAACTCTCTCTGTAAACCAGGTTGGCCTCGAACTCACTGAGATCCATCTGCCCCCGCCTCCCGAGTGCTGGGATTAACTTCAAACTTCTGACTTGAGGGCCTTTGCCTTGGCACTTCCCTATGTATCTGCGGCACTCTTCTGCCCGGCTCCTAGAAATTCTCTAGCAAGGCTCTTGTCACTCTCATCCACATCCACAGCCTGGCACATGACAGTTGCTTAGTAACAGCTTTTTGAATGAATACATGAATGAACGAAAGCATCTATTACCAATCTGCAGGCTCTGACCGTAGTTCTGATTCTCCGTTCCAATTCCCAACCATGAACTTTTAACCCCAGGATCAAGAGTGGATTGCCGGGGAGCAATCAAGGTCGAGACCCAAGGGTCCTTCGCCCCCCAGGCGCGTGGTCTCAGCAAGGAACCCCAAGGCCCTCCAAGTCCTCAGCCTCCCAAGGGTCCCACGAGCCTCGCCTCACCTCCCACGCAGGCTAGCACAGCCTTGAAAGCGCAGCTTTCCATCGCCCTCTCGATCATCTTCTGCTCCTCGCTCTTGGAGGGACTCGGGATCCCGCCCAGGCTGCCAGGCTCCAGGAGCCGGGGCTGACGCTTGTCGCCCACCAGGTACTGCAGAAGAAGGCTGTACTGCAGAGGAGCTTCGGCGGAACCTGCCGCCTCGGGAGCTGAACCCCCGGCCTTGGGGGCAGCGGCCGCCATGACCGTAGTGGCCTTAGAACCTTTCGCGTCGTACTTCCCACAGCCGATTCCACATGCTTCCCTAGGTGTTCAGCCATCGTGACGCAGCGGCAGATTCGCCACAGTTAGGAAGCTGCGAAAGCAAAAGTCGGCCTGCGCACCAGCGTCAAGGAAGCTGTAGTGTTTCCCCAAAGCCGCTTGCAAACACTGAGTCAAGTTTGTAAGGCATTGCTACAAGCACTGACCAACAAGATTCAGGGTCCCCAGAGCTCCCCCTCAACTAGGTCGCTCCAGTGCGGTGCACGCCGGGATTTGTAGTTCCAACTCAAGAGTGTAACTACTCTCCCAGAAAGCTGTGCGCGCGCTCGCCCGGCTGCTTCCTCAGAAGCTCTTCAGAGTAGCGGACGAAGAAAGGCCGGGCTCCCGCTGGGCTGCAGTTTGTGGAGCATCCAGCAGGGGGCGTGCCTGCCCTCTTTGTTGCCCCGCCGAGCTGCAGTGATCCGGCTACCTCAGTCAGAGAGGACTACAGGCTGGTGGGTACGTGCTTTGTGAGTAAATGTTGAAACAAGGCATAAAGGTATTCAATAGACATTTTATCATATAGATAAGCCTTGAGGAGAACGAAGGGGCCAACAAAGGAGCTGGGTGGTGGTGGCACATATAATCCCAACAGAGGCAGGCAGATCTGTGAGTTCGAAGCCAGCCTGGTCTACAGAGCGAGATCCAGGACCGCTGATGCTACACAGAGAAACCTTGTTTTGAAAAAACAAAATAAATAGATAAATAGATATTGGGGAGTGTGGTAGTTGTGATTCAGATCCATGCAAAACTACACTGCACCTCTGGCAATTGATTTCTCTGTCTTAGCTAAGAGAAACCCTCATGAAAACAGAAGTGATTACAGATGCATCTTTGGTGTCTCAAACCCTCCATGTTCTTCTTGCTTCTGACCCCACCAGGCCACTAAGCTAAGTTTGACCTTTCCAGTCGTTTCTTAGTCGTCAAAATGTTTTCCTAAACTTGTCAGCTGCATGTGACACGTTGACCCCCTCTCTCCTTTGATGCTTTGTCAGTACTTTTTAAAGATCACGGCGCGCGCGAGCGTTTGTGTGTGTGTGTGTGTGTGTGTGTGTGTGTGTGTGTGTGTGTGTGCTCAGTCAGTTCTGACTGACTGAGCCTTCTCTCCGACTTAGTGGCAGCCTCTCCAGTTGCTCTTGCAGTCTCCTTCTTCTTCTTCTGCTTCTTCTTCTTCTTCTTCTTCTTCTTCTTCTTCTTCTTCTTCTTCTTCTTCTTCTTCTTCTTGTTTTTGTGTTGTTTAGCTTTTTCAAGACAGGGTTTCTCTGTGTAGCTTTGGAGCCTGACCTGGATCTGCTCTGTAGACCAGGCTGGCCTCGAACTCACAGAGATCCGCCTGGCTCTGCCTCCCGAGTGCTGGGATTAAAGGCGTGTGCCACCATCGCCTGGCTCTTAGAGTCTTCTTATAAGCAACTTTGACACTTTGCTGTTGTTTTTCCTGGCTCCATCCTCTATGGATTAGTGTTTAGTCACGTCTTAACAACCGTGAGTCGGGACTCCAGTTCATGCCAAGATGTTAAGAGTCAAAGTGGGCTGGGCAGTGGTGGTACACGCCTTTAATCCCAGCACTCGGGAGGCAGAGCCAGGTGGATCTCTGTGAATTTGAGGCCAGCCTGGTCTACAGAGCAATTTCCAGGACAGCCAGAGCTGTTACACAGAGAAACCCTGTCAGGAAAAAACAAACAAAAAAAAAGAGTCAAAGCTGGATCTGAGAGAAGTTGAGGCAGTCTCCCAGGATAGTAGGCTTTGGGAACAGAAAATAGTCTAAAGAGCTAATCCAGGAGTGTAGAGTCCTCGCCTATCATGCCTGGGCCATGGGTTCAATCTCCAGCACTAAATAAATAAATAAATAAATAAATCCATTTAAGTGCAACAATAAAATCTCAAAGGAAGGGTCAGGAAGAATTGAGCCATCAGATGGAGAAACTCCCTATGGGGCAGGCTCACAAGGGAGGAAGTCTTTTACAGAACCACCCTTAGCCAAGATCACAGATAGGGAGCAGTTAGACTGATCTGATCTGCTGTCTCCTTCTGCCATCGCCAGCCAACAGTGGGATGGGTTTCATCTGATGGAAAACTTGAGCCTCCTCCAAGGATACTCTAAATGGGAGAAATTATTTCCCGTGTTTACTTCCCTGGGGACGTCTGGGATTTTGTCTGACAGCTAACATGGGTGTGAGCCCAGCAACTGTCAGGTTCTGCCCTTCTCTGCATATCTGTTCTGGCCACAAGGATACGGGGTTAGACGATTGTCCCCTAGATCCAAGTTGACCAGGGAAGTTAGAGAGGAGGTAGTTTTCCAGGGAAGATGATGACACTGAGTTGACTCTCCCTCCAGTCAGAAGACTCAAGGTGGTGGATCAGAGGTCTCGTGCTGAATCAGGAGAAAGCCCAGTTATGTCTTCCTGTAGTCTGTAGTCTGTAGTCTATAAGCCCCTAGTTGATCTGTAAGACTCCTGGGTGCTGTCCGCTGCTGAAGCTGAGAAGGAAAAGAAAGAGCTCAAGTTGGGATGGAATGAGAAAGTCCAAGCTGGACTAGCTGTGGTGGCACACGCCATGAATCCCACCACTCAGGAGGCAGAAGCAGATGGGTCTCTGAGTGTGAGGCCAGCCTGGTCTACAGATGGAGTTCATGCTTCAGAGAGAGAGAGAGAGGGGAAGTCCACGCTGAGTGCAGACTATTGCATATGGGTGTGAGTTGCATATGACTATAACAATGGGAAGTTTAAAAAGCCCTATGGCTGGGAGAAAGTATGTGCTGCTTAGCTGACTGATTTGTTATAGACAGTCAATATTGGACAAGCGACTTTATTTTTAGATTTTATTTTATTTTAAATGTATGCCTATATGTGTTTACCTGAATGTACGACTGTGCACCAAGTGCGTGCAATACCCCGGAGGCCAGAAGATGGCATCAGATCTCCTAGGACTGGAGTTATGTAGATGGTTGTGAACCATCATGTGGATCCTGAGACCTGAACCCAGAAACTCCGGAAGAACACCCAGTGCTCTCAACTGCTGAGCCATCTCTCCAGCCCCTGGTGGGATAATTTTTCATTTAAGGGTCTTTGATTAATGTCCTCTGACACTAGAGACTACCTGGGAGCTACAGGGGAACTAAGTTAGCACTTTTCACACACACTCTCTCTCTCCCATACCTGCACTTCCTATTGCCCCTCTGGATGAATCACCCTTTTATTGCATTGCACATGCACACATCTGTCTTCTGAGTCCACTCCTTTACTTTGGTACTCGTTGACATGGAAGCGTGTTATCCCGTCATCTCTCAATCAATAGGCTACGAGGCTCTCGCCTCCTGCTTGGCTTTTAACCCATCCACAGAAACATCTTTCAGCACCCAGGTGTAACTGCACCTGCTGCTTCAGATTTTTTTTTTTCAGAATATTTCTTTACACTGTGTGAAGATGTGTCACTGTGATTGGTTTAATAAAGAGCTGAAATGGCCATTAGCTATGTAGGAAAGATTAGGCAGGTCTTCCGGAGACAGAGAGGACTCTGGAAAGAAGAAAGGCAGGGTCACCAGTGAGACAGCGAGAGGAAACAGGAGGTACAAGATGGAAGAGAGGTAATAGCAAGTGGCAGAGTTTAAATTAATATAAATGGGTTAATTTAAGTTATAAGAGCTAGTGGGACCAGCCTAAGGTAATGGCCAAGCTTTTATAATTAATAAGAAGTCTCCATGTCATTATTTGGAGCTGGCGGCCCGAAGAAAAATCCGACTACAGGTTCTTTGCTGTACCATGACACAAATCTTAAGTCCCTTGTTGTTTTTATGTCTTGTGTTCAAGAAAATACACATGCTTCAGTCCAAGCTCAACTCTTACTGGAACATTCCCATGCTCACAATGTGCTTTCCATATTCTTTTTTGCCCCCTGAGGCAGGGTTTCTTTGTGTAATAGCTCTGGCTGTCCTGGAACTTGCTCTGTAGACCAGGCTGACCTTGAACTCACAAAGATCCACCTGCCTCTGCTTCCCAAGTACTAGGATTAAAGGCGAGTGCCACCATGGCCTGGCTCCATATTCTTAACTAGATTTAGAAATGATATGTCAGAATTATCCTTGTTTTTGGTTGGGTATCCCAGCACTAGAGAGGTAGAGGCAGGCAGGTCTCTGAGTTTAGGGTCAGCCTGGTTACATTTACACAGTGTGTGTGTGTGTGTGTGTGTGTGTGTGTGTGTGTGTGTGTGTGTGTGAAAGTGCCCACAGAGGCCAGAAGAATGATCATCAATGATCCTCTGGAACTGGAGTCAGAAGTGGTTGTGAGCCATCTGATGTGGGTTCTGGGAACTGCACTAGAGTCCTCTAGAAGGGCAGCAAGTGCTCTTAACCACTGAACCCCAGTCCTCTCAGAATCATTCTTGGGGTTTTGTTTGTTTTGTGTTTTCTTTTTGAGACAGAGTCTCACTGTGTAGCTATGTAGACCACACTGGCCCCCAACTCATAGAGATCTGCCTGCCTCGAGTACTGGGATCAAAGGCGTGTGCCCCTTGTCTGGCAACTCAGAATCATCAATGTTCTGTGTTCTTTTTTTTTTTTTTT